TGCCGTGTGAGTACAGGTGCTCCACAAGCCGTCTCACTCCAGGCATCAGTTGTATTGTTGTCACTGTCTTAAGGCATTCGTTGATCCAATCGTTGAGAAACTTTTGGTTGTCGTAATCCAACGCCAACTCATCGATAATACGTTTACACCTATCAAAAGGTGTGAAACCGATGTATTGGCCGTACGTTTGCTGAGACAATGAGTGTCCATAAGTGGCCAGAATTTTGTTAACATTAGTCAAACCCCAGAGTTCTGTGTCAATGAGGGTTCCGTCCAAATCAAAGATCACATGAGTTATGTTTCCGACACTTATTTCACACATTTTTGCAATTGATTTCGGTTTTATGTTTTAGGATTCCGACAAATAATACTAATAGTAATAACAATTATAAGGTGTTTGGGATCATAAAATGTTGGTAACATCTAAACAGTAAATATAAATAGTCATTTGATTTTATGTCGGTTTTTTCAAAGCCAAACACAATGCCATTAAATTTAAATGCAATTTTTATCATTTGTTTGTTTGAATGCATAGTTTTTATCGTTTTAAAAGATAATTGACTTTAAATTACATGTTCTGTTAGAGGTCTCAATCAATGTCATCCACCAATTGCAGGATTCCTTATATGTTAGTCAAATTTATTATAAATTGTTATTTTAATTAATAAACAATTTTAATATTAAATATTTTAAACAAGCAAATAATTTATTTTTTAAATCAACGATTAATTTTTAAAAATATTATTTATTGACAATTAGTTTAATTACAGTTATATTCCGGGTTTTAAATAAATATATTTCGAGATATACTGTATATAATGTTTTTACGTTAACTAAATAATAGAGATAATGACAGTACATATGAAATACGATTGAAAGTCGAGAGCGATGTCCTTGTCTTACATAAAGTGGTTTTAATGATAATTATATAACATTTTTGTAAATGAATAAATTGAATGCTATTTCCCATCAAATATTGTATACATAAATATTGTATATAATGGCATAAAATCCAGTTCTACGGCACTCTCTTCCCGGGCACTCATTTGTTGAGTTTGTTTAAAACAAATATTTTAATATTATTACAATTAGAGCGCAAAATATTCTAATAATAGGCATTATTAGTATAATTTCAATCAAACATTTGATATTTATTGACAAAAATGATATCAAACACGGATCCGAATGACGTACAGAACTCTTATAAATTATTACATTATTTTAAAACATTAAAATAATATAAAATTTATTATTCAAAAAAGTCATACAATTGTTGAAATTGTTTGTTGTATTAAAAGTTTGATTATAAATATAGGTATCAATCATAATTTATTCAATGTCTAATCAAATATTTGTTAATTTTGTTATTATAATTCTGAAACTTACACGTGGAAAATAAATCATTTAATTTTACAATAATAAATCTTATAATTTAATAAATATATTTAAAATTTTACGAAATAGAAATCATAAGAAATTAATATTTTATTAATAATTATCTTAATTTTTAGCAAATAATTACAGAAATAATTATTAAAATTATGATTAGAGATATTAATATTATTTTACACATTAATAGATTATTGTTATAAATCAGTCAAAGGCATTAACTTTAAGAATAATGGCATAATTCTGTGTAGATGGTAATTTAATTATTTAAGTTTTTGTTATAAATCTCTGCTAAAGTCTTAATAAATTTTATTTTGAACAAGTTACATTAAAACAAATATTTGTAATAATATTATATTTGCCAAAATTTCTTTAGAAAACTACATTAATATTAATCCTATAAATGGTATTAACAATGAATTAAGATTTGTTAAAGAATTCATACTCTTATCATAACGTTATTAAATAATTGATGAAAACCTTTTGTACAATAAACCGGTAAAACATAATATACTGTATTTTACTTTCAGTGCATTATTTGCACAAAAACTTCAACAGAAAAGATAGTATAATTGTTTGACATTTTTTGATTTTTATTATATCTCTGATTATGAGGAATAAAAAAAGTTTGTTTAGGAGTTTTGTTGGCAATAATATTCAGTTTGGCATTTGTATGGAAAGCCTGTGTTGTTATGAATGCTTATCAATTGGTTTATGTGGTGAGGAGTGGATAGGCCTGCGATACCTACGATACCTGTGATAACAGTATTATTGCAAATATCATTAATAATACCACTCTTTTCTCTCTCACTATTACAACAGCAAAAGACAACTCCTTTTTCATATATTATGCATTAATTGTTAGTAAAATACTTGTGTCTCATGTTATCAATAGACTGTTGAATGTGGTTTTGGTGACTAATATATTCTGTCTTTTATTATATTGATATTAATGTTTAATTATTAATATTATGCTATAATTTCAGTACAGAATAATTAACACCAAACAGACGCCAAGTATACGAATTACAAGTGTATAATAGTTATACACTTTTAATTTAGTTATATTTCTATACTATTGTAACAAATAGTGTATTAATTATAATATATTTAATATTAAAGACATATTAGTGCGGATATGGGATGCTGTGGCTGTTCGCCGTATGCCTCCACAATCACGGCTGGAATATTTACAATAGTTAGTTAATTATTACACGTTTTATTCACTACTAATAATGTTTGCATTTTGCCTCAAAATTACAATTAAAAGTTGGATCTTCTGTTATGCCTCCCGTTTGACGCATATTTATTGGCGTTTATTACTTCGGAAGACTTGGCCGCTAAACAGGATGAAACTAATATCGCCCGTTATATCTATTTTATATTTTTTGTCAAGAAAGACATGAAAAAAGGTTAGCCGTTTATCATGATTAATTCAAATGATAAAAGGCAAAATATTATTCTACATTAACATTATGTTACAAATAATATTTATTTAAATAGTGGTCATTGCATTACTTGCCATCAAAATAGCGGTCCGTTGTATTTGGTTCATAACATCCATAATGTTATTCGTGGGAAATGCGGTCAGTTTAAGGCAATTCGCCTTTTTTCACATAAAGATAATATATAAATATATTATAATTGTTTTAATTAATAAACAAATAGAAAGAGTATAAGAAGTTTCTGACCTGTTGGCAAATTCTAACGGCGACCAGAATTGTTGTGGGAATCACCACTTGTATTTACGGTGGCGTTAAACTTACAGTAAAACACTTTATTCATTACTTATTATAATTTTTATGCATATCTTTATTACAAAACTTTTAACTTGTTTTTAGGAAGACTTAAAGCTACTATTCAATGGTGGCGACTGGGCTGATGATAATTTAAAAGGATTAATTGCCGAGTTTGTAGTTTTAATTAATTTTATTGATTTGGGTCCCATTTGGTGGATTATATTAGTGAGTATCTTCTAAACGCATTTATTTATACAACTTATTAATTGTTTTACTTATGGTTAAAATCTCTATAAAATAGATGTGTTTAATGATATTTGTATACCAACGAGCCGTAGAGATTGAGTCGCGAAAGGGTCAGGGTAATAACCAATGGGGCAACTTTGGTAATACGAGCCAAACCCAGAACAGACCGGACCCGCCCGGTACTGGCAACCGAACGGCTGTCTCAGCGCTCGCACATCCCGTGAGTCTGACTCAAGAGCCCAATCCCTTCACTCCTATCAGAGAAGAAAACAACAATAAGAGGGAAGTGACCACTGCTTTGCCACAGAAGGCCAGCAATGGCTACGAAACAACACATTCAGTACAACCAATATTGAATGTGAATGAAGTGATTGCTATACCGCGGGTCACTCTCGCACCAAAGCCGACTCCCGCTCCCAAACCCACCACAACTGCAAATCAGCAACGATTTGATAACAATGGTTACGATCACAGGAATCCTTACGCCTCTTCTCAGGTCCAAAGACACAGCTATTTAGAGCCCGAAAGGAATCCAGAGAGATATCCCAAACGGACCGCTAGTTTCAATCAAACACAACAAATTGCGGGCCAAAGGAATGTTAATTATAATTCCTATGATAACAGAGGCTATCAAAGAAGTAATCAGGACTTACATCAGAGACCGTCGGGACCTTCCGGAAGGACTAACTTTTAATCATGAAAATTTCTTAACAGTTTTACTTATATTATATTTTAAATATAATTTTGTCATTTATTTATTGTTTTAATTTTTATGCAATTATAATATTATGTATTTTTAATAAATAATTTGTTTTTTCCAAAAGAATTTTATATGTGAATACTTTTTTTATCGATAATATAAATGTTAATTTAATTAAATGTGAATTAAAATTTTTATTATAACCCAGATTTCATTAACTAATAGCAATATTTATCAGCACTTAGTCATCAATTAAATAAAATTTCTACTAAAAAAATTAGCGAAATATTTCTTACGCTCATTGAAAAGATTATAGTTGTTATCAAACGGCAAATATTTCACTTTTTAATCAAATAATCGGTAACTAATAGTTACAGTAATATTAACTATAGTAATAAATTGAATTAACGTATTAACTCTATGCAGTGTTATTAACTCTAAAGTACTTTATACTAACTAATATGGTGTACAGTATTGCTAACAAGTATATGAAACCCAAGTTTTAAGTCCTGTTTGTGATAAAAGTTTTTTTGTAAACAAATTCGTTATTCGTATTAATTATATGAAGAATTTGCGGATAAAAATACTTATATTATTATCGATTGATTTATTCAAATGGGTTTCGATATAAACAGATTCCGGGAATCGGATATCAAAGAGGAGTTTATTTGTCCGATTTGTCACGACATCCTTCAGGAACCGATTCTTCTCCA